AAATAAATATTAAGATCTCGTGACATGCTGCAACACGATATAGATTATGCATAGACCATATATTTTTTACTAGTATTTACCATATATTTTTTACTAGTAGTTTTACTAGTGCATAGATCATATTTTTTGTATTATGTATATTTTTTACTGGTATAACTAATAAAATTATTGCTTAAATAATTGCATTTTTAGTTCTTATAATAATTGCATTTTTAGTTCTTATATGATCTGGATGCGAAATTTTGATTACTGAATTTAAGAAATGACAAGCTGCGTTTAAGATACGATTCATTAAAGTATGACGTTCAAAAAGCAGAGCAAGTTGTTTATGATCTTTCAGTTCGTGGGTTGAAGCAAGAAAAGCAGCCGACAACAGCTTGAGTCCATTCTTGTTGCGTGTTTCTGATTTGAATCTGTTGTCTTTTTGATTTTTTGTAAATAGGTGTCATATTTTTTAATTTTTCTTTAAACGTTGATTCGTTTTCAAACAGTTATCATCAATTTGATACAGTTCTCGAGTTTTTTGCATGTTGACAAGTGTTTGTGTTAATTTTCATTTATATCAAAAAGATAGCCTTAAAAGCTCTTTTATTAACTGCTTGAATTTGTATGTAAAAATCAGCCCTAGTTTACCTGATTTCATCAATTGTATTAAGATCAGTTTTTGAAATGGTTGCATTTAGGGACGTTTCTCATTTTTCATTCCAAGGTAGCTGTTGACTTTACTCTCAAATGTTTTAAAAATGTGAAAATATGGTGCGAAATTGCTCATAACCTAACAAGCCTGAGAGAGTTATAACTTTCTGTGACATGTAAATGGCTTTAGCTAATTTGCACCTTGTTTGTGTAGTTATTTGTCCATGTTTCTTCCTTATCAGAGAGTTGTAAATAAAGTTAATTTTTATAAACGCTAAACTCTGCAGTATGTAGCAATCAGTTAATAAAAGTTAGAAGCAAACAAGTAAAAGCTTAGTCTTCATTCAGCACGATATTTGAAATCTTTAGTAAGTAAGGTATTTTTACAATTTTTTATACAAAAGATCTGAATTACAGTTTCCGAAATCCATAAATTGG